AGGGGAGTAGAGATACTTCTAACTAATCACATTGGCGCATGAATTAGAGACTCCAGCCCTCTGCCTAGAATATGTTTTGTCCAGCTGCTGCCTGGGTCAGAGGCCAGGACCTCCAAGTGAGTGAGATTACTTGGCTCATAGAACAGGCTAGATGAAGAGTGGCAGGAGGCACTTTGACTCAAATGGTGCCCAGCTAAAGGGGTTGCCACTCATGAAGACTGTGCTCTGAATGTTATCTTTCGTTTTGTTCAGTGCACAACGTGTACAGCTGTCTGTGGCGACTCTGGATATAACTTTCCTGGACAAGGTTGGGGGAAAACTCCTCAAGAAGCACAGAGAAATCTCCTTTACTCAGTGGATGCTCTGCACCCTGCAAAGACCTAGGGTCGATCAGGATGGACAGACCTGAGTAAGTATACTCACTTTTCCGTTAGGTCTGTTATGTAATGGAGAGAAGGTATGAGAAGAACATAAGTATTAAGCCCAACTTGCCTTTAAAATAAGCATCATTAATTTTAAAAAGCATTTTTATAGTTCTTTATACTATTTCAAATCCTTTTCCTTATATCAAACGTTGATCTTGGATGTAACTTTAATATCCTGCTTCTGAGATTCAATTAGTTGCCTGTCAAAATCTGCCCAGGGACTTTTTGGTCAAGTCAATCATAACTAAAGAAAGTATAATTTGTATTTTTACTTGTAACCCTGGATTTTCACTTGCTTTGAAAGCATTTCTTTCCCAGGCATAAAAGTTTCACTGAAGTTAGAAAACATTTCCCCTAGAGGAAGAAAAAGTATCAAATCATAGATCAGAGCCCCAAACCTAGAAAGTGAAAAATGGCAGTGAAACAGAAAGAGACTTACTAAGTTTTAAAAGTTCATGCTGTTCTAACTGAGAAGCTAAGTGAAGTCCACACAGCACCAGTGAAGACTGGGAAACTGGGTATGAGATCGGCTTAGAATACTATTTCTCAACCATGGCTGCACAGTAGAATCACCAGGGTAGGTTTTTTTTTTTTTTTTTTAAATACCAATGTCTGTGTCTCTCTCCAGGCCAACTGAATTAGAATATCTAAGCCTGAGGCCCAGGCATGGTGGTTTTTAAAAGCTCCCTAGGTGATTCTAAGGAGTAGCCAGGGTTGAAACCTAGAGTTGGAAGTCTAATACCCACAGGTGCTATCAGTAATGAAGGTGGGGAGTGTGCCACTGGTTTTCAAGGGGGTCAGATGTCTAGAATAGCCCTGATTTTAATTACTGAAGAATCAGAGTGGTCATTAGTAGATGTGTATTTTGATGTTAAAAGTACTGATTGATTACTGGATTGGTTGAAGACTAGAGGACTCCCCGAGACTACTGCCCTGAGATACTCTTCAAACCTTCATCCAAAACTAACCCCTGAGGTCACTTTGTAGCCAAATAAACAAATTGGCTCAAAAAATAATAAATATCATCTGTAACTACTGCAGTCCTTTAAAAAATCACCTATATGAGACAAAACAGGCAACAATTACTTTAAGCGAAGATGAGAATGTAAGGTGGCAGGGAAACTAGATTAATGGAAACGGAACAACCAGAGCAGAAATAATGATAATGTTAATGCATTGTGAAGAATGTAACCAATGTCACTGAACAACTTGTGTGGAAATTGTTGAATGGAAACCTAAACTGCTGTGGAAACCTTCACCCAAAACACAATAAAATATTATTTAAAAAAGTAACGATTAATAATTTATCAAGAAATTGTGGAACACTGACTAAACAAGATGGCAAATTTTTTTTGTCAAATGTTTTCTTTGAGGCCTAAATAAAGCCTCCAATCCCATTTGCTGGTGGAAGTTTTCCTCGAGTATTCAAATATTGACACAACAATAATGCTACATTTTAAAAAATATCCAGGTCCTACGGCCTCCTGGGTGATGCAGACAGTTAACGGGCACAGCTGTTCACCGAAAGGTTGGAGGTTCAAGTTCAGCCAAAGGCACCTCGGAAGAAAGGCCTAGCAATCTACTTCTGAAAAATCAATTCTACTCTGACATGCATGGGGTCGCCATGACTCAGAGTCGACTCGACAGCAACTGGTTCTTGGTTTTATGGCCCCGTCGGGATGACTGATCTGTGGTCTCTTCAACAACCTGTAGTTCTCGTTTCTAGCACAAAACAACTGGTGGGTCACCCGCAGAGACTGGAAACTATCTGTGGTCTTTTTGGAAGCACAGTCTTGGGCTAAATTGAACAGGGGTGACTTGGGATCACGGGGGCACAGTTATGGAGGTGGCTTAGCAGGTTTTGTGCTGGGCCGACCCTCACCACTGGCTCTGTAGAGATGAAGCTTTCCTCCCCAGTGGAGAGCTGGGGAAGGAGAACACATTTTTAGTGACTGCCTCTTCTGGCTTGATGCTGTATGGTCTCAGTCCTCACAGCAGTGGTTCTCAGCCCTGCGTATACATTATCATCACCTGGGGAGTTTAAAAAACTGCAATACCCAGGCCACGAGATCATTTCAATCAGCACCTGCAGGCATGGGACCCAGGCATCACAATTTTTTAAAGCTTAGAACCACTTCCTTTTATCCCTATTTACAAATGGAGAAAGTGAGGGCTTGGCTGTGAGTGTTGAATCGGACCCAACTCTAATTCCTCAGCCTCTCTCCATTCTGGTTGCCCTGAAGTCCGAGCAGCTTCTGTCTAGCTCTTTAGAACCATTACTATGTTCCGGAGGGAGTTCTTTATTTAGCCGAGTGTGTTAAACATATGAATTAAGAGCTCAGTGGAGTGGGGAAGTTACTTATCCTCTGTGTGTTCCAGTTTCAATGGGGATGTTACCCAGCTAATCGCAGAGCTGTTTTGGGAAGTAATTGTGGGAAAGAGAACCCTTGGGAAATAGACATGCTTGTCCTTATAGCAAGATAGTCAAGGGCCACTTGTCTCCTAAAACCCATTGCCATTGAGTCAATTCCAACTCAACACCTACTTCTACTAATTTCAGGGCCACCGAGGACCCCAGCCCTGCTGTGGCTTCTGATATCAGTGTGACATTTTTGCCTCAAGTATCAGATTGGGGACAAGGGTTGCTAAGAACAGAGAAAAGTGTCAGAAGATGCTAAAGGGGTCCTGGAGGCTGCCCTAGTTCCCGGAAGTCCTGTTGGCAATCTGAGACTCTTCCTTGCAGACCCAGGCTGAGCTGGCTGATTGAACTGAGCTCCACAGCACTCCTACCCAAGATGAGCTTCCAGTCTTTCTACACACCCATGATAGCAGGAAGTGCATATAGACAATGTCCACCAGGGGGAGCCTCTCACAGGACAGAGCTCACACTGGTGGCTGACTGAGGAGTCTTCTCAGCCACGGCTTGCTGGAAAGTGCACCCCTAGGGTCTCCTCAGGTCCCTGGGTGGCACAAAGGGTTTACACACCATTACTAACCTAAAGGTTAGCAGTTCATACCCACCCAACAGTGCTGTGGAAGAAAGGCCTGATGATCTGCTTCTATAAAGATTACAGCCAAGAAAACCCTATGGAACAGTTGTACTCCATAACACACAGGGTCGCTATGAGTTGGAATCGACTCCATAGTAAGAATCTCCCTCAGTTTTCTTCAGTGGCAGCCTCTTCCAGGATGGAGGCATCACTCCATCCTTCCATCAGGGGTGGCTGATGGTCTATCAGGGTAAATCTATGGCCCCTGGGGTCACTAGGGCCCAGTGAAAATATTTTCCCCTTGGCAATAAGTCTAGGCCCTCCCTAGGCCACCATCTCTGGCCATGAAGGCACAGGTGTGCTCAGGTAGCCACACGTGGGCAGAGGCTGACCCCAATGGGGGACAGAGGAACAGATAGCCACCCTAATGTCTGTTTATATATACATATATATTTACTGTATAGTGCATATATACAGTAATTTATATTATATGAGTATATAATATATAATGATGTGTTAATTTGAATATATATTAATATATATAAACACAGAATCATCCTTCTTTGTGTATGATGTAAAGGCTATTGGAGCATAGTCGCCCAGCACGGTTTACCTGATAGTGGTTGTTTTTCCCCCAGGATTCATTTCTCCATTTTTGCATGTGACCTACAAGCGAAGCCCTTTTATGAAAGACCGTGGGTCTTTGATGCTTGACTTAGGAGAGAGGCTTAGGATAAGGGGTATGAGGCAGGGGAGAGAGCTTGGAGGCAACTGGGCATTTCTTCCCTCGAGGGCAGTGATACCGAAGGGACAAAACGTCATCCTGGCCAAAGACCTTGGATGTGTCCACAGACTGGGAAGTAGCTTCTAATCGTTTCATTGTGGGGGCCACTTCCACCAGAGGACCCCCAGTTCCTCACCCAGGCCCCATCCTCACAGAGTCCCACAAGTGCCTAGCCTGTGGCTAAGGACAGAGGCCTCAAGAGTGATAGGTGCCCAGGGGTGGGTGCCCTGAGTCACAGCTGTCCTGCAGCCATGACCCCCTGAACTAGCACTGAGGTGAGTAGTCCTGTCTGTCTTGTTCCATCAGGGCAAGAAGGGGCCTGAGCCCCCCTAGACCCAGGGAGGGGCCTCAGGGGCTTTCCTGGTGAGGTTCTCTGTAAGACCCTGGACAGCCCCCTTTGGAGTCCCCCTCCTAGGGGCAGAGGGGCGTGACTAGCTGTACCTTATACTCACCCAAGCATGACATTTCTTTGAGGTCTCAAGTTTTACCTTCAAAATCCAAGCATATTTTGCATTCTACTCATAAAATAACAAATGGTGTGACAGAAAACTGATTACTTACCAGTTAATTATTTGACTCTTTTTCTCCTAGACTGTCAAGTAAAATAGACACTCTAGAAAGACGTGCCACATTTATCCCATGGCTCTACCCTAAGAGGTCACTGTGCACCTCTCCCCAGTGGGGAAGCCAGAGTCTCAGTTGACCTGGGTTGCCTTCTCCTGCCTGCAGTCCCTTCTGGGGATGGAAGAGTCCATCCAGCCCCAATCCTCATACCCACCCCCCGGCTGATGAGGGTCTTACCAATGTCACAGAGCTTGCCAGTGTAGCCAGGGGGGCACAGGCATGTGACGAGTCCCTCTGTCTCCTGGCAGGTCCCAGCGCCACAGAGCTCCTCAGCACAGGACCTGGCAGGGGCTGCAGCCCCAGGGGAGAGGTTGAGCATCAAGAACTCAGCCGCCCTGGGTCCCCATGCAGCCGGCGAGAGCTCTCAGTCAGGGCATAAGGCCCCCGTGGTCCACGAGGCCGGCGTGGGTCAGCATGTTTCTGGGGACTCTGTCCCTCCTGAGTACCTGCCCCACGGCATCTGGGGATCTCTCTCTGACTGCAAAAGCTCTCTCAGCACAAAGGGAGGTGCAAGGTCATCCCTGAGAACAAAGCCACTGTATCTGGTGCCCGGGATTAGAGAGGGCCCAGCACTTTCATTTACGTTGAGGAGAAGCAATCATGATAATATGCTAACACAGAGGAGTCACATGGTACCGGGGGTGGGGGGTGGGGACACGGGGTCTAAAGTCAGGACACAGCCCAAGCTGCTCTCGATAGTTCCTTAAGCTGTGCAGGTTTTGACCCTGCAAACACATAAACGTCATCAGCAGATTCATTCTCTCGTCTCACACTCCCTCTGGGGCAGGGTGGGTGAGCGGAATTTCCAGTACTCTCTGAATAGTCATCCTTCTCTCTCCCTGTGCCAGGCACAGACAGTGGCATTCATGTGATGGAACTCCACTGTGACGATGACAATCACTAATCTTTCGGAGTGTGTACTAGGTGCAAAGCATGATCTCAGTGCTTTACATATATTAAAAACATTGCCATCAAGTTGATTCTGACTCATGACGACCCTGTGTGTTGCAGAATAGAACTGCACTCCATAGGGTTTTCTTGACTGTGACCTTTTGGAAGCAGATCGCCAGGCCTTTCTTCCAAGGCATCTCTAGGTGGGTTTGAACTGTCAACTTTTTGGTTAGTAACTGAGTGCTTAACTGTTTGTGCCACCCAGGGACTCCTCTTACATATATTTATACCCTGTTTCGCCTTCTCTGGTGCCATTCCCATTTTACAGATGAGGCTCAGAGAGGCCGAGAAACTTGCCTGAGGCTGCACAGTGAATAGTGGTGGAGCTGATAATGGGCCTGTGCATGGAACCTAGAAGCATCCTGCCTCCCCTTATGCTATGCTGCCCACAGTCTGAACTGCCCAAACACATTTAAAGGTTGCCCCGATTCACCTGTCTTTTCTGGAGAAGCTGGGACGGCAGCCTCTGTTGGGTAGATGGCTGTTTCAGCTGTTTGGGTCTCTTCTCCTGAGTGAAAGGGACTTGAGGACTCGATTTCTAGATGCGCCTCTGCAGGGCGCTGGGTCTGCTGGGTCCCCTCAGCCTCTGGGGTGCTGGTGCTGATGACAACATCCAGCCCCAAGGTGTGACCAGACAGGTCTCCATCAGCTTCAGTTCTGTCTCCAGAAGTTAGGAGAGTGGCAGAAGACAAGCCCGATGCATCTGTGCCCACCTCATAGGGGGTGGTTGGTTTACCACTCACTTCCGGGGCTGCTGACCCCTCCCTGGGGCCTTCCTGGGAGGCAGAGGTGCCGCTGCCACTGCCCAGGACGGAGGCTGTCTTGAGATCAGCTTCGTGGAAGGCCGACGTGGTTCCACTCAGATCCGGGGACGTGGAAGCTTCTCCGCTGGCCTCGGGGGCAGCAGATGTCCCGACCCCAGCCTCAGGGTAGGCAGATGTCTCACTGCTGGATTCGGGGACAGATGACGCTTCTACCTCAGACTTGGGGAACCTTGGTGTAGCTCCACTAATGTCCCCAGGCGCAGAGGTTCCCCCACTGGACTCAAAAAGCTGGGAGTGTTTCACAAGAGTTGGCTCAGTGACACCCTCCGCAAAATCAGAAGTGATCAAAGTAACTTCTGGAAGTCCTGAGGCCTTCCCACTGGTGCCTGTGGCTGCAGAGGCTTCTCCACTTACATCGGTGATGCTGGAAAAGTTTCCCCTAAAATGTGGAGTGCTTGGAGGTTCTCCACTGGGCTCTACCAGCCCTGACTGCGGTCCACTAAGGTCCAAAAGTCCAGAATGATCTCCAGACATGTCTGGTGCTCCAGAAGGGGCACCACTGAGTTCCAAAATGCCTGAGGCCCCTTCTGCTGCTTCCTGGGCTGTTGGGGCCTGGGTTACAGATTCCACCAAAGTTCTGTCTATAAGAGAGATGGTGGGGAAACCAGATGGAAGTCCACTGCCTTCATATGCCCCGGAGGGCAAGCTGCTTCCAATCTCTGCTCTGGAGGATTCGCCACTGACCTCAGCTATTCCACTTGGCAGGCCACTGAATTCTGGAGCCTGGGATGGAAACCCACTGGAGTCGACTACTCCAGAAGATTGTCCACTGACATCCACCATCCCAGATGTGCCTGACAAATCTGCCTCCCCAGAAGGAAGTGCACTGAGTTCTACGGATCCTAAGCCTTCCTCTTCTTTAAATGTAGTAGGGGTCACTTCAACAAAACTGGTGTCCACAAATGTAATGCCAGAAGATTCACCACTGCTGCTCACAGCACCAGAAACCAGATCAGGGATTCCAGATGCTGCCCCGCTGAATCCTGGCAACCCTGATGGCTGCCCACTGAGATCAGGGACCCCAGATATTTCTCCACTTAGGTCAGTTATGCCGGATGGTTGACCACTGCCATAAGCAACTCCAGGCGCTTCTCCACTGACATCTGGTTGTCCAGAGAACAGTCCGCTAAGCTCAGTCACTCCAGATGTTTCACCACTCGTGTCAGGAAACCCCGATGGCTGCCCACTCACTTCAAAAAGCCCTGATGCTTCCCCACTGATGTCAGGAAAGCCTGATGGCTGCCCACCAATGCCAAAGAGTCCAGATGTTTCCCCGCTGATGTCAGGAGACCCAGATGCCTGGCCACTGAGTTCAGTTCCTGAAGGTAGTCCACTAATTCCACCACTAATGTCCAGCTCATTGAAGGGCAGCCCAGATGCTTCTCCAGCACCACTTATTCCAATGGTTCCTCTCCCTTCCAGTTCCCCTGCAGTGGCGGCTGTGACCACTTCCACCAATGTAGTATCCACTAGGGAGACAGTTGGGAACCCAGATGGAAGTCCACTAAAGTCAGGGAGGCCAGTGGATATGCCACTTCCAATCTCCACTCCAGAATATTCACCACTAAGTCCAGAGGGAAGTCCACTTGCTTCTGGAGATTGCCCACTTCCTAGAGGTCCAGAAGGCAGTCTGCCAAAGTCCAACGGTCCAGAAGTAGACCCTACCAAGTCTTCCTCTCCAGAAGGCAACCCACTGAGATCCTCAGCTCCAGTGGCAGAAGTCTCTATACCTTCTCTTCCAGAAGGAAGCCCACTGAGGTCTCCTACTCCAGAGGCAGAAGCTTCTGGACCTTCTACTCCAGAAGGAAGTCCACTGAGGTCCCCTACTCCAGAGGCAGAGGCTTCTGGACCTTCTTCTCCAGAAGGAAGTCCACTGAGGTCCCCTACTCCAGAGACAGAGACTTCTGGACCTTCCTCTCCAGAAGGAAGTCCACTGAGGTCCCCTACTCCAGAGACAGAGGCCTCTGGACCTTCTTCTCCAGAAGGAAGGCCACTGAGGTCCTCTACTCCAGTGGCAGAGACTTCTGGACCTTCCACTCCAGAAGGAAGTCCACTGAGGTCCCCTATTCCAGAGGCAGAGACTTCTGGACCTTCCACTCCAGAAGGAAGTCCACTGACGTCCCCTATTCCAGAGGCAGAGGCTTCTGGACCTTCTCCAGAAGGAGGCCCGCTGAGGTCTTCTACTCCAGAAACAGAGCCCTCTATGTCCTTGCCTTCAGTGGGTGGCTTGCCAACCTCAGGAGTGCTGGACCACTCAATTCTGTCTTCATCCCCTGAGGCCAGCCCACTTTCCATAGGCACACCTGAGCCCACTGCAGAAGAATCAAGGTCTCCAGAGGGTAGTCCACTTGCACTTTCTTCCAAGGGCTGCCCACTGAAGTCAAAGCCTCCTGAAATTTCTCCACTGCCTGTGAAGTCACCACTGACTTCAGGGGCCCCAGATGGCTCCCCAGAGCCTGGCAGCTCAGTCCAGCTAGGCACTGAGGGTGTAGGTGTGTATGGCTCCTCTGAAATGAATGGTTCCTCTGAGGTGGACAGCTCCTCTGAGGTGAACGGCTCCTCCGAGGTTGACGGTTTCTCTGAGGGGAACGGTTCCTCTGAGGTGGATGGCTTCTCTGAGGCAGATGGTTCCTCTGAAGGGAATGGTTCCTCTGAAGGGGATGGTTCCTCTAAGGGGGATGGTTTCTCTGAGGTGAATGGCTCCGCTGAGGGGGTTGATGCCTCTGAGGCAGATGGTTCCTCTGAGGCAGAGGGTACTTCAGTTATAGAAGGGCCTTCTGTGCTCTCCTCCGTTGCTGAAATAGTGGGAGGCCATGTAGGAGGGATCCCTGTCGGAAAGGCGGAAGAAAGAGGAGGTGTAGATTTATTAACTTGTCCCCATTTTAAGTTCATACAGAGAAGCTACACTCCATTCTTTCCACAGTAAAACTTTTCTCTCAAGAGCTCAGAGATGTGTTCAGACACTTTCTAATGGGACCTTGCATTAGAAAGGAAGAAGAAAGGTAGGAGGAAGGAAGAGAGGGAGGAAAGGGACCAGGAAGCTCACTGCCCCCTTCAGAGTACCATCCATACAACTCATTGGATGTGGGTGCTTGGCCACCACCACAGGCAACCAAGGTCATATTTTAAGTATTGCTCTTTCTCTCACTGAGGGGAGGTCAGCTGAGGTGGCTGACATTGCCCACAGCAGCACCCAGCGCCAGTGACAGGGCTAGGGAAGCAGAGCACAGGCCCCAAGGAGAGAAGCCATCCTCGGACACACCCTAGGCAGACAGGGGTCTTTGGCTTCAGGGTGTGCCCACAGCCCAGGCCACACTGACCTGGCAGTGGGGAAGTGCCCTCTGGGGTGTAGGCTGGTTCCCATTCCGTCTGGTTTTCTGGCTCAATGGTGAAGTCTGGGACTGCGGTCATCTCCTCCCCCGAGGGGACAGCAGCCACTCCAGGCACCACATGGGTAGTTATCCAGTCTTCTATGCCAGAGGGTGGTATGGGTGTGCTACCCTCTTCTTCTTCCAGAAAGGGCACCACTAAAGCACCTAAAGGGGATGTTAGTGGTGAGGTTCCCTCCCCAACCAGTGACCCCTCCCAAGCTGGCCCTTCTGGAGAGGAACGGGGACTCTGTGCAAGAGCCTGGCTGGACCACCCCCATCCTGCCCAGAGCAGGTGATGACTCTTTGCCTTCTCAAAGAGTAAGAGCCATGAGCATCAACTATACAATATCCACAGGCACACACCTTCAGCAATGTTTTTCAAGGTGGTCTGGAACATTTCTCCTGCAGAATCTATTCAACATACCAGGCACTGCTTTAAGGGCTTTATGGATAGTAAATTATTTAATTTCACAATAACCTGAGCGGATAGATACTATTATCCTGTTTGACAGATAGGGAAACTGAGGCACAAAGAAGTTAAGTGACAGTTAATCCTTTGGGAGGGACTGTCCTTTCTGAGGCAGTGGAGTGAGGCTGAACTTTCTTTGAGCTTTAAAAGGTGACCCTGGAAGTCTGGGAAACTTGGGGACCTGCAAGTTTTTTTTTAAACTTTATTTTGAAATAATTATAGATTCACAGGGAGTTGCAGAGAGGAGTTGCAAATTCTTCCAGAGAATTTGTCCCAGCACTCCATCTCTGACTGGGTGTTAATTCCCAGCCATGCCCTGCCCTCCCTCTCAGAGAACTCAGCCTTTTACATTATCATGCAGAGAAGTTCTTCTCCCTTCCCCACCAACTCAGTTTTGATGTGTGATACGTAAAATATAGCAAAAGCAGTTCCTATGGTCTACGCCCTTGTGCGCCCAGGCCTATGGACCATTGAGAACTCATCCAATCAGAGCTCAGCAGTGCCTCAGACATGCCCTGGCCATGCCCACTGAGTTGTTTGATGACATTACTCAGTGGAGTAAGGTTGATAAGGCAGCGTGACCACAGCACGAGTCAGTTAAAAATGTGAATTACTCATGCTCAGTGAAGAATAAGGAAATAAACTCATCACAAAACTACAAGTGAGAGACAAGTTGAGAAGGGCGTACAAATTAAAACAATATATATAAAATTTATAATAGTAACAGCTAATATTCACTGAACACTTGCTATGTTCCAGGCCCTATGTTAAGGGCTTCACATGCACCATTTCAGCTAATCTTCAGAGCAACCATTTTGTAGGAGATAAGGCAGAGGAACAGAGAGATTAAGTGACTTGCCCAGCTCTTAATTAAATCAAACCCACTGCTGTCCAGTCAATTCTGACTCATAGTGACCCTACAGGACAGAGTAGAACTGCCCCATTGGGTTTCCAAGGAGCAACTGGTGGATTCGAACTGCCGACCTTTTGGTTAGGGGCTGAACACTTAACCACCGCGCCAGCAGGGCTCCAGCTCTTAAGCAGCAGAGCCATAATTCACATTCAGGCCTGCCTGATTTTAGAGCCCAGCTCACTTCTCTCTACTAGCCTTTAGAAGGATACACTTGCTTTGAGTTCAAAGCCTAATGTACCACTAGCTCCACAGCTGTCCCTGCCCCAGAGGGAACTACTTTTCCCTGCTTGCTCTGATGGAGGGGTGTGGTGGGAAGGGCCAGGAGGGGCGACCCCAGGGGAGCTGCCCCTGGGAGACAGGGGATCTGGAGGAGAGGTGAGGTGCGTACTTCGGAAACAGAAGGCATGGTGCCGGGACAGCGGGTCCGCGAGGCCGGTCTGGTTGGGGTAGAGGTAGATGGTCCTCACACCAGGCTTATTCCCACCGCAGGCGGGCCGTGCGGTAACGATGGGGTAGCGAAGGCTGCCATCCAACAGCCAGCCAGCATAGCACTTGTCCAGGCCGAGGCTCCAGGCAGCGTAGAGCTGGCCCGTGGAGGCCAGCGTGGCGTTGTGAGATTCGCAGAACTCCAGAGCTTCCTGGAAGGTGAACTGCTCGGGGCGTGTGGCGAAGAACACCTCGCCTGAGGGCAGAGGCAGGTGGCAGTGTGGGACCCCTGCTCAGCCAGGGGAAGGGCTCCCACTCACCCTCACCTCTACCTCAACCCTGCTCACCAGGATCCCCACCCACATGGCACACAGGTTCAAGACCCAGCCCAGCTCAAACAGGCCCTTCTCAACCATCCCCCTTAGAGCTCCTGGGACACTGGGAAGTAGGGTGACCAATCATCCTGGTTTCTATGGGACTGGGATTTCCTGGAATTTGGGGCTTTCAGTGTGAAAAAACGGGAAGTCTCAGCCAAACTGGGACAAGCTGGTCACTCTACTGGGAAGCAACCACTCCTCCTTCCCTCCTTTCTAGATTCTCCAGTCACACTTAGGTATCCCCCACACCTCCCACCACTGGCTGATTGGCGGCTTCCCTGGGCACCCCCCTGTGCTGCCTTACACCACAGCACTTATCACAGGCACTGTGACTGCTGTGGAACTGCCCATCTCCCTCAGCACCCTGACAACTCACTGAGGCAGGGGTTGGGTCCTGTAATCACGGCTTCCCAGTGCCCAGCACCAGGGGGAAGGAAGCTCATTTATCGCTCTAGAACAAGGGGGTGGCAATATTGAAAATTTTCGAACACACCAGCATTTCCAAAATTGGGTTCAGTGGAACCCTAACTTGGAGGAATTTTAATTGAAATGAAATGAAATAAAAATAAAGGGTCTGTGGTCAAAATAGCTTGGGAAATGCTGGGTTAAAGAGAGTTAAAGAATTTTTTTTTTTTTTTTAATTATTGCAAAACTTTTCAGAGTCTTTGATTTTCTCATGGGCATTGGGGCTCCCCAAATGGCAAGTGGTGTGAGTTGCATTTATTTAGAATAAATAAATGGATTTATTTACCCACAGTGCTGGGGGAAATCACATGAACCATCTAGCAGAGAAACAAGGAGCTTGACCGGAGTGAAGGGCTGGGTGGGTCTATTTTCTAAACAGGATCTGGAAAGCTGGGTGGGAATGGGGTGGTGGCAGTGACTGTTCCTCCCCTGTGGCATCTCCCCTCTAGCTCCCTGCCTGCCTAGGGCCCTGAATGTGACGATGTGGTCTGTACCCTCGAGCTTGTCCACGTAGCAGTAGACATCGTAGGTTTCTGTTGATGGGCGCACACCATAGGTCCTGACCCCTGGGCTGCTGTTCTTGTCGCCCACACATGGGGCCCGTGGGCTGACAATGGGGTATCTGAAAAGGAGGGTGGGTGGATGAGGACTGCTCTCAGGGCCCAGGTTGAGGCTGGCTGGCCCCTTGGGGACTTGGGCAGGATGTGTCTTGGGTTGTCTGGTGGGATTCAAACCAGGAAGTAGCCTCTGATGCAGCAAGTTCCCTGAGCAGACCACTCCCTGGTTCCCTCTGCAGCTGGGGGAAGGGTCTGGTGGCCTCTGGGTGGCCCCCGGCTTCAGAAGAGGGAGAGGCCCATGGAAGGGCTCTGGGCAACTGGAGGAGGCATCTCCGGAGCAGGGACTCCCTCTCTGTCCCTTGAGGGGAAATTCTCAACGACTTAGCCTGACCAGAGCCCTTCCTTACCTCCTCAGAATATGACTCATCTGGGGAGAGATTAAGAAAGTAGCTATGGAGACACCAATGCATTGATTAATCCACATGTGCGGGGTGTTGTGCCAGGGTCCTCAAACCTGGCATCTCCAGGTTGTGGCTACTTCCCCTGGGGTAGGCTGGGGAGGCGCGGGGCCCTTCCTTCACCTGACGGTCTGGTCCTGCAGCCAGCCAGCGTCACACTGCTCGTAGCCCGCCTCGTAGGCTGCCTGGAGCTGCTCTGGGGAGGCGATGACTGCGCCTGTGCGCAGGCAGGCCTGCTGCGCCTCCTCAAAGGTCAGCGAGTAGCGGGTGGATCCCGGGCGGTAGTGGAACACGACCCCTGGATGGGAGGAAAGGAGAAAGTGGTGCATGCAGGGCACAGACCAGGCCCCGCAGGGCCATTCCCCATAGCGTCCTGTCCTCACTGCTCTACAGGCCCGGAGGGAACCCTGACTCTTTAAGGAATAACTTCCCTTCCTCTCCCTCCTTCCAACCCTATTCCCACCTAAGCCATTTCACTCTGCTCATTCCAACTGCTCCTGACATCCACCTCCCCGAGGAAGCCTTCTGAGACCCTTCAGTTCTAGGTGTCCTCAACTCTCCCTTTCTGTATTCAACACACCACAGCTGCTCATTGTCCACTTTAAAACCAAAAAACCCAAAAACTCAAACCTGTTGCCATCGAGCTGATTCTGACTCATAATGACCCTATAGGACAGAGTAGAACTGCCCCCATAGGGTTTCCAAGGAGCAACTGGTGGATTCAAACTACTGACCTTTTGGTTAGCAGCCAAATGCTTAACCACTGTGCCACTAGGACCCCTTAGAACAAAAAGGTGTTTTTTCTTGTTATAAAAAGGATAAACGTTGATTACAGAAAGTTTGGAAAATACACAGAAGGATGAGGAGGAAATCAAATAATCACTGGTAATTCTTCTGCCTAGTCTGTGGTCAAGTGCCTGCTGGTGCAGTGGTTAAGCGTTTGGCTGCTAAAGAAAAGGTTAGCAGTTGGAGTCTATCAGCCTCTCCTTGGAAACGCTGTGGGGCAGTTCTACTCTGTCCTAGAAGGTCGCTATGAGTCAGAATGGACTCGATGGCAATGGGTTTCGTTTTTTATTTAACAGGTGAGAGTCCATGGCCTTTGCCTTAGCATTTCTATCATTCTTCCAGATAATCAGAACGTGGTAACTGTTCCCACCCATTCCTTCTTTCTCTGAAATCATGAGCGCTAGTATTCTGGAATCCATGGTTCAGGGCTCTGGAGGGTGGGTGCCCCTTCTGAGTGTGGCTGCAAACATTTGTGTGGGTATGCAGCAGAGTATTTCTGGGGAACGGATCCCCGGCTTTTGTCAGATTCTCAAAGGGGTGGGCCCACAAACAGGTATGAGCCCTTGTCTTAGAGTCTCCCCGTATTGTGCTCGGCTGGATACACATTTGTTTTTGACACTTGCCTGGGTGACAGCTCACTGTATGTCACAGGCTATGAATCCCCAGCCTGTGTCTATCCCATATTCTCTGTCCTGCACTGAGTCAGACGCTCATCTTCCCATTGGCACCATGTCACATGGTGACCAGTGGGGCTCACTCCAGCCCTGGGCCAACCCTGGGACCAGCCACTAATGATGTTACCCTAAACTTCTCAACAACCCCTCCTCCTCAAACTAGTGTATATATCTGGACATTTCACTTGGTAGCATCATGAGTGTGAAGACGGATGGCTGTGTCCATCTGCCCCTTCCCTGGGAGAGGACATCACCAGGGGCTTCACGAAGGCCACTGCAGAAAGTTCTCCTTGTTGATGGACTTGAGTTTGGGGAGGAGCTGAGCTCTGTGTGGCATCCTAATTCTCCAGACATTTATTAAGCACCCAGAACACCATCACCATAGAACAGAGGTCGGCAAGCCTTTTCTGGAAAGGGCCAGATAGTAAATATTTTAGGCTTTGTGGACTACACAGTTCTGTTACAGTTACTCAACTCTGCCATTGTAGTGCTCAATCGACCATAGACAACATGCAAACAAATGGCGGTGGCTGTGTTCCAGTAAAATTTTTCATGGCACTGACACTTAAATTCCATACAGTTTTCACATGTCGTGAAATATTCTTCTTCTTCTGAATTTTTCCCAGTTATTTAAAAACGGAAAAACCATTCTTAGCTCATGGGCCATATGAAAACAGGTGGTGAGCTGGATTTGGCCCACGGGCCACAGTTTGCTGACTCCTGTTGTGGAAGGTCAAAGCAGGGAGAGGCCTCAGAGATCACCCCATGCAGTGGTTTTCAAGTGGTTCTATTCTCTGGAGGTGCCTGATGGGGCAAGGAGGATCTGCGGATGGGAAGAGCCCCAGTTCTGAACCCCACTTCACCTGGATCTGTGTGCCCCCTTTATCTGATGTACACACCGAGTTGCCATGTAGGATATCATTTGAAGTAAATGCTTCATGGCAAAAGAGTTTGGGGTAGAATGGGAGAAAAATATAGAACAAAACTCAAATTCTTAAAAAAGTCTAGACTATCTGGCCCAGTTGAGGCCAGAAGGCTCCCTAAGACTATCACCCTGAGATATTCTTTAAACCTTGAACTGACACTGTCCCCCGAGACCACTTTTTGGCAAAACAACAAAGTGGTACACAAAATAAAGGACATTACCCATGAGTACGGTACTCTATTAAAAAACCATCTATATGAAAGCAAAAGGTCACCATTTAGTCTAAAGCAAAGATGAGAAGATAAGGGGGCAGGGAAACTAGAGTCCTGGAAACGGAACAACCAGAACACAATTAAAGAGAACGCTGACACAGGAAAAATGTAACTAATGTCACTGAACAATTTGTATAGAAACTGTCAAACGGGAACCTAATTTACCATGTAAACTTTCACCAAAAAGACAATAAAATATTATTTAAAAAAAGAGTTTGAGACATCACTGGTCTGGTCTATTCCTTTTGTTTTACAGATGAGGAGAGCCAAGGCTGGGCCCAGGTCCCAGGATAAGTTGAAGGGACAGCCAAGATGTCCTTCTACGCCCAGGCCAGTTCTTTCCACCTCCCCTCTGTGAATACCCTCTGAAGGTGGGTACTTACCCCCTGGCAAGAGCTGCTGCCCAGGGACCGTGGTTGCACCTGGAGAGATGGTTACCTGCACGACCAGGTCCTCGCTGGTGAAGGCCCTAGGCGCCAGGCCCAGCGTGGATTCCTCGGTAAAGTCCCAAGGCCTGGTGGCCTCTCCAGTCTGGTTCTCAGCCTCAGGGAAGGCGGAGGCTAGTGTGAAGGGCTCCTCGGGCTCCGGGACAGTGGGTGAGACGCCGAAGATGGGTCTCACTGTAAGGATCACGCTGCCCCGGGCTTCACCCTCAGTAATGTTTCGGGGCAGGGGCAGTTCCACCTCAGGCCAGGTCACTGTCTGGATGGTGATGTCCTCCTCACCACCCTCCTCGAAGAAGTCCTCTGGGATGTCCACAAAGTCTTCACCTGGGGCAGGAGCAAAGACACTCTCTACGTGCTCAGCCTAGGCCTCGCTTGAGGGGCACAAGGGATGGGCTAGAGAGGACATTAGCTCCTCCTCCTTCCCTCTAGGGAAAGAAAGCACCTACTGTGTGCCAAGCCCCTGGCCTGGCTCATTGCAGAGTCCTCACTCTTCGAGGTGCTCTTACCATTATTCCTTGTTCATTAAAGGGGTCCCATACTTAAAGATTGCAAAAGGGTGCAAGAGTCATCATAGCAAAAGATATTGACCCATCAGCTCGCTGCTTAAAAAATCAGTTCCCTGTCCAGCATCTCTTCCTGTTTAATCAACACCACCATGCCCATCTTTTTAACCATCTGAAATAGTAACTATCCAACGGGGCAATGTAAATCAGTTACAGAGGGAACTCGTAAAATCTTGCAGAAGACGTAGGCGTTCATGACATTGATGAAAGTGATGTTGGTGAACAACTTATATCACCATCATGGACAAGTGAGGCCAAAATGGACCAGGTAACAGTTAAAAAAGAGAAAATCCATGAGAATGATGCTACTTCCAAAAGAGTGGTTGGTGATGGTTGCACAACATGATTGAAGTAATTGGTTTTATTCAATTGTACAAGTGACGCACGTTGAACTGGCAAATGTTATGTTATCTATATTTTTTATAACAACAACAAAAAAAGCTCAACAACAAAATAAAATAAATTATTAAAAAAAAAAGAAAAGACACTCCAGAGCAATTTCACCCACTCCATGTAGACCTGTCAACCAGGAGAGTGAAAATGTACCTCCACACAAGTCCATGTTCAAATCTACTTTCTCATGGAGAATCTGCCTGACCCCCTGTTTAATGTGCAATATCACCTCCAGTACTCCTGATATCCTTTCACCTGCTCTACTCCTTTTATTGTCCCATGATATTTTTCAGCTTCTGTCATACTACATAATTTATGTTCATTATTTATTGCCCATCTCACCCTACTAGAATGTGAACTCCTTGAGGGCAGGAATCTTTGATTTCCAATGTATCACATTGTCTGGCACATAATAAGTCTTCAGTAAATATTTGTAGGATGAAAGAAAAGAGAGAGAGAAAAAGAGTAGGTCTTGGGACAAAATTCACCCACAAATATTTTTGTGTTCTTAGGTTTCTTGGGAGGCTACTTGCCATACTAAAAGTATATGCTGCCCTCCAGTGGGGGCTTGTGTAACAGTGAAAAATGAAAGAAACGTTCTTTGGTGAAAATTCACTAAGGTAGAAGACTTAGGTATGAGGCAGTGCATCCAGAAAGTGTGATTGAGTCAAGCTTTTGTCTCTTTTGGCTTTTGTACAGTTAGATAAGCTTTGTAAGTACATTTATGGTTTCCTGTGTGATAGTTAGGGAGCCCTGGTAGGTTTGGTTTGTGTGTGTGTGTACGTCATATTTGGAAAACCAGAGATGTCCAATGTAACAAAATGGAAGTCACCCGCAATAAATTGTGCCTCCCAGGATTGTTGGGACATTGTCGTTCCACAAATCATAGTGCCAGAGGATGCCATAATTTTGGGTGTTTTGGGGGCATGTGTTCCCCACAAAATATGTATCAAAATCCATATTTCATAACATAAATTCAGAAATCCTCCTTCATTCAGCATGCCTTCCATTACTGAAAACACATAGCAGCAAAAGAATTTTAAAGGAGAAAGTAATAGGGTCTTAAAAGGGTTAAGAGAGGCTCTGGGGAAAATGTATGAAACCCTAATTATTTTTCCAAAAATAACCCTCTTTATATAACATCAGGCTGTGAAAGTTAAACATGAAAGGAAATATGTTATTGTGCCAGGGCCAGTTCTGCATACATTTATGCAACTCTTCATCCTTTGTTCTTTCCTCTCAAGAATTAACACTTAATTGTAATTATAACCCAATTCTTGTTAAATATAAGATAAACTTATTTAAAAATTTTTTAGTCTAAATTTTTAAGATAAAGTCCCAATCAAAACTTTCCTCTCTCTTTTTAATAGCATTGGCCTTCCTTTTACATGAATTCAATTTAAAAGGACAGGTAACAGTGCTCTCCTGTGGGAGCATGGCCTTATGTCAGCCTTCTATCATCTTCCACGTGGTATCCCCATCTCCCCATTAGACAGATGAGGAAAGTGAGGCTCAAGGCCCTGACCTTCCCAGGGTCACATAGTAGTAAGTGACAGAGCTGGAATTCAAACTTCAGAAGACACAGACTCTAAATTGTGCTTCTAATCCTATTCTGAAGAGAGGAGACAGGGCTGGATTCACTTCAGTCTCCAGCATCTCTACCCTAGCACTTCCTAGGAACCAGTAAAAATGGGGGGGAGGTACCAAAAGCATGGGAGTCCCTGGGTAGTCCAAATGGTCGATGTGCTCCATTGCTAACTGAAAGGTTGGAAGTTTGAGTCTACCCAGAGGCACCTTGGAAGAAAGTCCTGGCCATCTACATCTGAAAACTGAACCACAGAAAACCCTATGGAGCACATTTCTACTCTGACACACATGCCATGAGTTGGAATCGACTGGTTAACTGGTTACCAAAAACATAGGGTTCAGGTACCCAGTGGCACCTTGAAGGGGCAAGAACCAACCTCCCTTTCCAAGTTTTTCTCTTCCTCTGGGTCCCCATTTTGGTGAGATGACCCCCGTTCCCACCTCCAGCCCCAGCCCCAGCCCTACCTGTGTAACAGATGGCGTCATAGCGGGATGAAGGGTCTGGGTAGCCTGTCTGGTTGGCATGCAGGTAGACGGTCCTCACACCCAGAAGGTTGCCCCCACAAGTGGGCCTGGCCTTAGAGATGGGGTAGCGCACACTGCGGTCGGCCAGCCAGCCAGCGCTGCACACGTCCATGCCGCCCTGCCAGGCCAGGTAGAGCTGGCCTGTGGTGGCCAGCCGGGCGCCCAGCCGCCGGCACTCATTGGCTGCTTCCTGGAAGGTGAACTTCTCGGGGGATGTGGCGTAGAATACCTCGCCTGGAAAGGACACAGTGGCAGAGTGAGGGTTCCCTCCCACCTCCTCTGCCCTGCATCCCCAGAGAGACCCATGCACTGCGACCAGGTCTTGTGGTGCAAACAGTTAATGTGCTCAGCCACTAACCAAAAGATTGGAGGTTCAAGTCCACCGAGAGGTGCCTCAGAAGAAAGGCCTGGTGAACTATTTCTGAAAAATCAGCTACTGAAAACCTTCTGGAGCACTGTTCTACTCTGACATGTACAGGTCACTATGAGTCAGAGTTGACTTGACGACAACTTTTTTTTCCTAATGTTTTCAAGGTTTATCCATGTGGTAGAATTAATAAATGTAAGGCCAAAATTTATTAGTGGTTACCAGGCGTGGGAAGGAGGGGTTCAGGAGGAGTCATTGCTTAGAAGGCAATGAGTTTCTGTTAAGGTCGATGGGAAAATTTGGAAATGGATATGGATGATGGTTGCATGTAATTAATGTCACCTAATTGCACATGTGGAGCCCTGGTGGCGTAGTGGTTAAGAACTTGGCTGCTAAACAAAAGGACGGCAGTTGGAATCCACCAGCCACTCCTTGTAAACCCTATGGAGCAGTTCTACTCTGTCCTATAGGGTCACGACGAGTCGGAACCCACTAGATGGCAATGGGTTTGGTTTGGTTTTGGCTAATTGCACACGTAAACAATGTTAAAATGGCAAATGTTTTGTTATATACATGTACCACAATTAAAAAGAAAGAAACAGCCAAAAAGGCGAAGAGGTGGGGGAAAGGGTAGAGCCAGTTTGAGGTACAAGATGAAACTCCCTGTGCTCTAGAGCATCTTTGCTGCTGGTAGTTCTCTCCGAAGCATTCTACCACTACGGGGTCTTTCCTATGAGTAGAGCATTGCCCCTTCAAAGCAGATCCTTTTAAAACATTCAAATTCTGATGGGAAAAGCAGGCATCAGACTCTGACCCCTTAGGGCAGTGGTTTCCGAATGGGGGGGCTCTAGGCCCTGGGGAGTCCTTAAGGTCATTAGTTAGGGCCTGTAAGCTCTTTTTTAAATTTTCCAAAAACCTGACAAGGTTGTGCCAGGGTAGGGGTGGGGGTGGCGGGCACCTCTCATGGGGGGAGTTCTGGTTGTAGAGTAGCAGCTCTGACGTATCGTTATACTTGGTCTTTGGTTAACCAAACGCGAGAACCCAAATACTTGTTACTTGACTCGCCAGTTGGGGGTGAAAATGAGGCAAGGGGGCTGCGGGGTGAGAAAGATGGGAGCTGCTCAGCCTCAGAACGAGCCAGCGTGTCGGTCTCCCAGCCCGCAGGGACTGTGAGTGCTGTGCTGGAGCCTGGGGGTGGGGGGCAGAGGTGACAGAGTCTGGAATGTCAACAGGCAGATGGAGGAAGGGGTGTCACCCCATGCTTGGGTACCTTGGGCAGCTCTGACTGTGACCAAAATTAGTGCCCTTTACAAAACAGACACAATCCAGTTTCTTCCAGAACTAGACCTGGAATAGGGCTGGGGGCTGGCAACAGAGGAGCTGAGGTGAGGGGGGTGCTGGGGAGCCAGTTCTCCTGGAACTACCCAGTAGTAGCCTGGGGTGTCCCTCGTGAGGGTGATAAGGCTGGGTTTTGATAGCACAGTGGACGCTGGGACAGGGATGGGGGTCCCTGCTGGGAGGGGGAGTCCCAAGTGGGAGATCTGTGACACCTGCTCTTTTGGGCCTAGTAGTGACTTTGGGACAATTTGAAGCCACCTGTGGCCACCAAAGCCATCTCTGAAGGCAGGGGGAACAAGAGGTCCCTCCCTTCTCCACTCCTTCCCCCTGGGCACAGCAGAGAAGGGTGTTGGGCAGAGGTGCCTGAGCTAGCACCCTGACCCAGAAGATGCTGGGTGACCAGGGGTGCAAGTGGGGTGAAGGGACTGTGAAGGGAGCTCTGGGGAAGGGCAAGTTTCTCCTGGTGGGCAGGGCAGCCTCACCTTCCATCTCCTCGGCAAAGCAGTACACGTCATAGGTCTCATTAGTGTCTCGGATGCCGTAGGTTCTCACGCCAGGAAACTCATCCTTGTCTCCATAGCAGCCTTCCCGGGGCGTGTGGATGGGGTACCTGAAAAGTGGGCGTGTAACAGTGAATGGAGGGGGAGCCACATGGCCTGGACCTTGTGTCTCCCTCATAGGACACAGTGACTGAGTCATAAGTTTGATCCTGTCTGTCCTGGATACGTAGAACGTCTGTTTTTACAGTTATTAATGACTAAATGCAGCCCCCTTGTCTGAATATCTGTTGGTACCAGACACACCGCTCCATCAGAGGTTGGCAAACTTCTTCTGTATAAGGGCAGATGGTAAATATTTCAGGCTGTGTGGGCCATACAGTCTCTGTCCCAGCTACTCAACTCTGCTGTTGTAGTGTGAAGGCAAGCCTAGACGATATGCAAATGATGGGCATGGCTATGTTCCAAAAAATTTTATTTACAAAAACAGGGAGTAGATTGAATTTGGCCCTCGGGCTGTAGTTTGCTGACCCCTGTCTATATCATTTGAGTCTCACATTAACCTAGTGAGGCAGGTGCTATAATGAGTCTATTTTACACTTGAGGAAACTGGGGCTCAGAGATGTTAAACGATTTGTCCAAGGTCACACAGCTTCCCAGTGTCAGGGTCTGAGGTGTGAGCTCTGGCACTATGCTAGACTGTTGTCCCATCTTGCTTATTATGATTAGCTGTTTTTGTGTCCTAAGAAATCTTTGCCTACCCCAAGATGGCAAAGATATTTTCCTTTGTTTTCTGCTAGAGGCTTTGTGGTTCTAGCTCTTACATTTACAGCTATGTTCCACCTTGAATTAAATCACCTCATCTTGCCTTAACAAATTTGTTCATAATGGATTGAGACCCCTTGGGTGGGCTCTGTCTCCTTCTGCTCTGCAAGCCCACCCCTCAGCCACATGTGCTCAGGAACAAAAGTGCAAAGAAGTTTGATTTATGTATGTCTTGCTTTGTTAAGGAGCCCTGCTGGCACAGTGGTTAAAAGCTCAGGCTGCTAACCAAAAGGTCAGCATTTTGAATATACTAGCCACTCCCTGGAAACCCTATGGGGCAGTTCTACTCTGTCCTGTAGGGTTACTATGAGTCAGAATGGACTCGACGGCAACGGGTTTGGCTTGTGTTTTTGCCCTGTTAAAAAAAAAAAAGGAATGTAAGGTGGTTTATAAAAATATACAAAAGCACTTTAAAAAAAAAAAAAAAGCCAAAACAACAAAGCAATAAGTGAGGAAATTGTTGCAAAGGGGGAAAATGGGTCAGAAGAATGATGTGTAATTTGCTCATCTAAGGTAACGTTGGAGTCTCTGAGTGGTGCAAATGGTTAATGTACTCGGCTGCTAACCAGAAGGTTGTCTGTTTGAATCTACCTAGAGGCACCTTGAAAAAAAGGCCTGGCGATCTACTTCTGAAACATCAACCACTGAAAACCCTATGGAGCACAATTCTACTCTGACACACACGGGGTCACCATGAGTCAGCTTCCACTTGATGACAACTGGTTTTTTAAGGCAGGGTTGCGAGCAGCACTCACTCCACCTCAGGACGGAATAACAAGAGCGTGGGATGGATTGACAGTTTCCTAGCCTAGTGCTGGCCAAGGCGACTCCCAGCCCCCAGCCTAGGCTGGTCTCAGTGTCACCCTGGCACTAGCTCACTCCACCACCTACCACACTCCACTGTGGCCCCTGCACCCCGGTCCCCCAGCCAGGCGGCCCACTCGGCTGGTGGGCGGGGGCCTCACCTGACCGTCTGGTCGGCCAGCCAGCCAGCGTCGCACTGGTGGAAGCCGTCCTCGTAGGCGGCCTGCAGCTGCTCGGGGGTAGCAATGATGGCGCTGTTCTGCAGGCAGGCCCGCTGTGCCCTGTCGAAGTCCAGGGTGTAGCGCGTGGAGATGGCTCTGTAATGGAACACAATGCCTGCGAGACAGGCGCGGGTGAGAGCAGGTCAAGCAGTTTCCAGTCATTGAGGCCCTCGCAGTATCACAGCAATCGTCAAAAGGGACCTTAGGGACATCTGGTCTGGGCCTCTAGCTGATGCATGGATCCCCTCTCCACATTTGCATGTGGTCCCTCTGCCTTTGCTGGAATACCCTCAGTGACCCGGAACTCACGACCTCACAGGCGTTCCTTTTCCAATACCTCTGATAATCTGCAAGTCCTTTCTTGAATTGAACCCAAATCTGTCTGCCTCCTTGTAATTTTCTCTTGTCATTCTAGGACCCCATATTTGCTTTGGGGACAGAGACACTCAGAGCCCCAGGCACGCTCAGTCCAGGGGTGTCCTAGCTGAAGCGCTATTTAAGGTACACTCAAGAGTGGCAGTCTTTCACAGAGCCTCCTACTGCATCTCCCTCTGCAAAAAATCTGGTGCCGACCAAACGCCTTAAGCCAACCAAGGACCAACCATTCTCCTTGGGCCATAGAGCGAAGGGAGACCAGGGAAACAGCCTTGAGCCCTTTCCTTGGCTTCTGGAACTGGGAATGAGTGAATGAAGGTGGGGGAGGGAAAAGACAACTGAATGAAGGGCCAGAAACCATTCTGACTCACTTCCAGGGTTACTTCAGGCAAGTCACTTAACCTCAGTTTGCCTGTCTGTAAAATGAGGATGCTCACAATGTCCACCAAATCACAGGATCGTTTTGAAATGCAAACTGTCGTTTATCGTGTGACAGTGGCCAGGAAGTATTTAGTTCTATTTAGTTTCTACAACAGTCCTGAGAGAATGGTTTTACCAGCTCCATTTTACAGAGGAAGTGACTGAGGTTAAGACATTTGACTGAGGTCCACACCGGCAGGTCCACACCCACAAGGACACCATTCCAGTTCTTTCTGTGGGTGGAACAGTGTCCCTGAGGGTGGCGCTCACCTTTCACCACGACCTCCAGGGTGGCCTGGCTGTCCTCAATGCCATGCATCACCTCGCAGCGGTAGACGCCAGAGTCATTGGAGCGCAGGCTCTGGATCTCCAAGGTGGCATCGCTGGGGATGGCTGGGTAGTTGGGCAGTGAGACCTTGTCCTGGTAGGCACTGCTGACCCGCACACGTCCCTCAGTGGCAACCAGCAGGACCACCTCCTTCTCTTTCGAAATGCGGCTCCACCTGATTCTCGGGGCGAGGGGGGCGGTAGAGGGGGCGGTGGTCACCGGGTGCAGGGGGTCGATGAAGTAGCAGGGGATGGTGAGGGAGCTTCCGAGGAGGACCCGCAGTGGGGAAGGTTGGGGGATGCTCACGCTCAGCGAGGTGTCATGGTCTGTGGAGGAAGGCGAGTGGCAGACAGACCCGTTAGTGCCTAGAGAAGACCCCCCGGCCTCCTTGTCAATCCTTCTGGAACTGCATGCTTCTGAGTATATAGTGGGGGCAGTGGGGGCTGAGACAAGCTCCAGGAGGTTCCTGTGCCCTATGGAAAATCCCAGGAGGCCTTGAAACACTTTTTCCAGACCCGCATTCCTAAGACCCCGGTCTCTGCACCTCAAGACAGAAACTGTGAAGCCAGAAAAGGGTTGCAAAGAAGGGCAAGGGGAACATCAGCATTGAGACCATCTCTCTGTTTTTCAAACCCCACAGGATGCCAAGCCAGAGGATAAACAGGACCTGTCCTCCTGGAGTGACAACGTGACCCAAAGATTTTTGGGAAAAACTATTTACCAACCCTTGAGTGGTGCAAATGGTTAATGTCCTCAACTGTTAACCAAAAGGTTGGAGGTTTGAGTCCACACTCAGAGGCACCTCGGAAGAAAAGCCTGGCGATGTAGTTCTAAAAAATCAGTCACTGAAAACCCTGTGGAGCTCAGTTCTACTCTGACATACATGGGGTCACCATGAGTCGGAATCAACATGTGGCAACTAGTAATCGTGAAAAAAACAAATAAACTGAATACATTGTGGGATAGAAAAAAAATTCACAGAACTTTGAAAGCTAAGACATAAAACTTCAAAGACGTTTCCCACTCAAGGGAGTCAGCTTTGGGCTCTGTCTTGGCCTTTCAGGGGGATAAGCCACTCTCTTTTGCTGTTAGGGTAGACGCCACAAAAATCATGGCAAGTATCCATAGGGAAGGTGCCCCATGTTCACCAAATCTCGTTAGAAGTAAAGGACCTGCATGGAATGGGGAAGAAACCTCTTTGGGAAAAAACAGCACTTTTCGCGGTGAGTCATAAACTTATGAAAGCCTTCTTTCCAAGAGTGTCTACAGGTTGAACATAAAAATGTTTCAGATATTTGTGGGTGGTAGGTACATCCTAGGGCAAGGAAGGGCAAGCCAGGAATGTTTGGAGTCCTGGACACCTCCCGAATGCTTAGCCCCAGCTCCTTCTAACACGCCTGGTCCTGGTGGTATTGGTGGGTCCCCAGGGAGAGCTGAAGGTGACAGCAATGCCTAGCTCTGCAGTGTTTAAAGCTCTCAACCTGCCCTACTAGCCTGGTCTGCCTGTGTGAACAAACCACCCCAGGTTCTAGCCAGGGTATTTGTGGACCCCAGAGCAAGAGTACAAATGGAGGCTGTGTACCATGTGGCTAGATATTTAGAAGTTATCAATCAAGTCAATAGATTGTTAAAGAAAATATGTCCTATCCTCCTATTTGACAATTCTACCTTTCAAAATGACCCGGAAAGCCAGATTGAAATGTAGAATTCATATGTACATATGTGCACACGTGTGTGCATGCACTTGGGTGTGCCTGTAATGCACACGTGTTCTCCCTTTTCAGTTGTTCTTGCATTTGAAAGGAAAGGGGCAGGGCCAGGAAAGGGGAAATGATGTCCCTGCGACTAGCAGCACCCAGGTCAGTTCCCAACACCCAGAATCCAGTCCTCAGTGCCTGCTGACCCAATGAAACCCATGTGGGAATGTCCTCACCTGAAAATTCTACTGGGGTGGTTGCAGCGATGACCCTCAGAGTCACAAACACCAACAGTAAAGTGGTCATAGTTCACCTGGAAGAGGAAAAGCAGAGGCGGGATTTGAACAGGTGAGCATGGTAAGGCCGAGTAGGGTCATGTAACGTATGACACAGGTGACAAACCCCAAGACCAAGATCTGAAATCACATTGAGATAACGAGGCTGCATGCGGTTTATGAGATGTTTTCCCCCAAAATCCTCCCCTTACAAAACCTTCACACATCCAGCTGGGTTTTCTCAGTTTAATGACAGGTGACTAGGCTGGAAAAGGAGCCCTGGTGGCGCAGTGGCTAAGAGTTCGGCTGCCAACCAAAAGGTCGGCAGTTCGAATCCACCAGCTGCTCCTTGGAAATCTTATGGGGCAGTTCTACTTTGTACTATAGGGTTGCTATGCGTCGGAATTGACTCGACGACAACTGGTTTGGTTTAGGCTGGAAAAACTCCTCCAGGGAACCTCCGTCTTCCAGTCATCGAAGCCTCATCTTAAGGAATCCCCCAGTCTCAGAGAAGTGAGACGAGCTGCCCAATCTCCCTGATGTTTCACATCCAATAATCTGTGCTTTAGGATGGAGGCCCAAGGTTTCAGGCAAGACTCTGGGACCTGGGTCAAGTCAGGGGAAGGATCCTGGCCTAGAGAGCTCCTGAGGAGGTTATGGGACAGATTAATAATTAAGCAGAGAGAGAAGTGAGAGCCTAGGACCCGATAGCCCTCCTGCTGGCTCAAATAATGACTTGGTGCAAATTAGAAAAGCTGTCATGGTAAGAGCACAATTCTGTGACAGCCACAATGTAAGGCGCCCCTTGGAGTGTGCAGAGCACAATTCACATGACTGTAAGCAGCTGTCCAGGGACCCTGCATCCAACCGGGCCAGTAGACGTAGACCCTTTTACCCTCCCGGGAACTATTTCCCAACTTTGACTGGTCACAGCTGGGTTTGAACTTTCAGTTCCAGTTGCCATGGAGTGGATTCTGACTCGTGGCAATCCCATGTGTGTCAGAGTAGAACTCAATGGTTTCAGAGGCTGAGAGTAACACACAGCCGAGGCATGTCCCCTAGCTTCCCAACCTCAGCTCTGCAGGAGTCTGATGGTCCAGCAGGTGTTGCTGTTGGTTCCATCATTGACCATAACTGGGGCCCGGATGGATTTGGGGATAAGGGGAGCAACCCTGAGGGGCCTCTGGCTCCGGGAGAGGCACTAGGGGCACTGGTGTTCCCACCCCAGGAATGACCGGGGGAGTGGCAGGGTGGGGTCCAGGACTCTGGGTGAATCTTCCTGCCTGTCCTTCTGAATGGGACATCTTTGCATCCCCTCTCCTTCACTCATTCCACAGGGACTGGTCACCTGAGAAATGAAAGGGCTGTGTGGGCACTGCTGAGGGTATAGAGGCAAATGCGTGAGGCATGTCTCCCTCACATCGTAGGAAGTCTGGGAAATCCTAGAGTTCTAAGAAGTAGCCTCTTGTTTCTCCTCAGGGATTTTTCTACTTTGACGCTGCCTTTAAAAGAAATCTCTGGGGCTCCAGCTTCTGGTGCTGGGAGGCACCACTGGGCTCTGGAGCTCATTTTCAAACCCGGTTGTGACCAGTCAGCGTTGGGAAATAGTTCCCGGGAGGGTAAAAGGGCAAGATGTCCTCTCCACTCTGGGGAGGGGGTCTACACTTGTGGGCTCCTCCCCTCCCAAGGCCTCAGGGACTCCGTGTTTAGATACAAGGTCCGCCTGTTCTTCTTCTCGTAGAACACCCTTCACTGGGAAGTTCTGCGTATGTTTTCAGAGTTGTGTTTCTTCCCTCACTCCCTGAACAAGCCGGACATTGTCCGGGGATGCAGTAGATCTCTGTGAGGCTTGGGGTTGCTCTGTTTTCCTCCCTGGCCTAGACCAGGAAATGGGAAGGAATGAAATGGAGGGGGGTGGTTTGAGGGTAGGGGTGGAGTGGGCAGAAAAACTAATTTTATTTCTTCTTTTTATAAGACAAACTTTGGGATAGAAATATCGCAATAAATATGCTCTTGTGTTGGTGCGTGTTTTCTCAGCTGTAAAGAAAATAGGGAGAAATTCCATTCTGTCTGGGTTCCAAGTGTCTCAGAACTCACTGAGTCTTTTATGCAGGGCAACCGACGTTGCCAGCCCCGTCCCACCACGGCCCTGTGAACAGAGAGGCCTTTCTCTGTGGAAAACAAAATCAGGTGGTGGTGAGGGGATTGGGTAGCTGGGGCAGAGGAAGGGGCAAGGGGGAGCTTGGAATGAAGGGAAGAGCGGAGTGTGGGAAGCAATAAATGGATGTTGGGTGAAGGCTGGTGTGAGGGGAGCTTCTTCCAGGTCCCTGTGGGGAGGAGGAGGGGAGAGCTTGGGCTGACCATCAAGGTCTTGACTTTCTCAGGAGAGGATTATGAGGAGGCTTGATAGGGGAAGGAGTTCATAGGTGGTGGAAACGGTTAATGTTCTCGGCGGCTAACTGAAAGGTGAGAGGTTCGAGCCCACCCAGAGGTGCCTTAGAAGAAAGGCCTGGAGATCTACTTCCAAAAATCAGCCATTGAAAATGCTGTGGAGCACAGGTCTGTTCTGACAAACATGAGGTCGCCATGAGTTGGAGTCGACTTGGCGGCAACTGGTTACCGTGGTAACTGATAGGGGAAAGTTAGCATGCTAGTGTTTTCACCTGAGCTGAGGCTGTGTGTGTGTGTGTGTGAGAGAGAGAGAGAGAGAGAGAGAGAGAGAGAGAGAGAGAGAGAGAAAGAGAGAAGCCTACAGTTTGGAGACAGGGAAACCCTTCATGTCCTAGTCCGCAGACTCTGTCCCACGGCCTCCTAAACCAAAAAAAAAAAAAAAACAAACCTCTTGCCATAGAGTTGATTCTGACTCATAGCGACCCTATAGGACAGAGTAGAACTGCTCCATAGCGTTTCCAAGGGGTTGCTGGTGGATTTTAACTACCGACCTTTTGGTTAGGGGCTGAGCTCTTAACCACTGTACCACGAGGGCTCCTGCCCAGACTTTATTCCGTCAGATTATGGGATTGAACTGGCAGTTTAGCTACTCACCCTGAGTCCCTTTTCTAGCAACATGTATGGTGGAGACCCTCAGACCTGGGCCCTGGTCCTGGCTCACTCACCCACCACTGCTTGATAATAAAGGCCCACTCCCACAACGGTGAGATAACGTCGCAGGCAGCTCCCTCCCTAAGGGCAGGGGCCCGGCTTTGGCTCTGTACCCAGCACAGGGTCTGGCACTAGGCAGGCAGCCCTCCGTGCCACCTTCCTCCCCGCCTCCTGGCTGTCAGGCCTGAGTGAGCCTCTCAGAATTTGGGGTTTGGAAGAAAGTTTAGTGGTTGTAGGCAGCACTCCAGTCCTGGGATGAGGGTTGGACTAGATGGCATTCCTTAAAGAATAAAACTGCTTTCATTTCAAAAATAACATTACCACATTACCAGACATTTGGAAAACAGAGGGACAGAAGGAAAAAAAATCACCATGATCCACAACCCCAATCCAATCATAATTAGTGTCTTGATAGTTTTCCTTCTAGTCTTTTTTTTCTATAGGCATCGACTTGTAGTTTATGTAGCTGTAATCTTTTTGCAACCTGTTTGCTTATTCTGCATAACACAGTGGACCAACTGATTTTTTGTTGTTGTTGTTCCTTCAGAATGGATGACTGTGGGGATTTTACAATCACAACCTCCCTTCCGGGGATCCTGGCCTTGGCAGGTGTCAGCACCTTCTGCTTGAATAGTGGGGTGCTCACTCCGTCACAAGGTGACCCATCCTATCACTGGGCAGCTCCAAGTGTGCTGAAAGTCTCCCCAGATGGAGTCAAAATTACCCCCTCTTTACAATTCCCATCCATGAGCTCTACCCTCAGGCGCCACACAAAACGTGTCCACTCCTCTTTCATGTGACTCATGACAGATCTTCGGAGGTCCAATGGCTGCTCTTCCATCTGCTGTTCTTCCATGGAGACATTCCCAGTTTCTTCAACCCTTCCTCATGTGGCTTCCAGACCCCTCTTGCCTCCCTGGAGCCACAGAAGGTCAGAGCTGGGATGGGCCTTAGTGGACATCAAGTCCAGATGTGTCATGTTACAGGGGAAAAAAACTGAGGCCCAAAGATGGTAAGTGATTTTTTCAAAGGCACACAGTAAGTTGGAGGTGGAGCCAAGACCAGACCCCAGTTCTGGGAGGCCTGGGCCTCATAATCCCCAGTGTTGGCATGCTCCACAAGGCAGCCACTGTGTCTATGTTGTTCCCCCTGGCTCCCTGGAGTCCAGCACAGAAAAAAGAGACAATCAGGACACACTTGCTGGATGAATGAATGAACACATGGGAGGTCCAAGCACCTTAGAAGTCATTTCCTTAAACCCTAGGCCTTGGCGGGGGTGGGGGACTAGAACTGGAGGTCTGCATTTGTTAAACACATATGTGGTGTGCAGCCCATGAGGTACAATTGAAAGGTTGGCAGTTCACATCCACTCAGAAGAAAGGCCTGGCAATCTACTTCTAAAAAGTCAGCCACTGAAAACCCTATGGAGAACAGTTCTACTCTGATACTCATGGAGTCACCATAAGTTGGTATCGACTTGACAGCAACTGACTACTCCCATTTTATACTCAATAAGTCTCAGCTATAGATGTGTAGTGCTTGCTTGTGATATGATTAATGATAGTCCCTGGGTATGGCATGTGATTCTGGGAAGGCCACAGTCCATTGCCAGCCAGGGGTTGTGTAGCAATCAGGCCCTTCCCTTCCCAGGGCTCCAGGAACAGCCATGCAGTGCTGGAGCTGGCTTGCATGGCTCACCACAGCCAATCCTGAGCATCAATTTGAGCACCACATTGGTAGCTTGAAATTCACCACGACAGAATTTACACCACAGAAATTAGCAAACATGACAAATCGGGTTTGTTTTTTTGAAAGGGGACATAACTAGCACACTGCTGCAAGCAACGAACACTAAAAAAAAAGGGCTGGGGAGGGTAATAGGGCACTTCTCTTTTTTGTCTAAAGAAACCTCATTCTCCCTTCATTGTG